TCCTTCTTTAGTCAGTCTTTTACGCTCTCTAGTGGTCGTGTTTGGTAACTTTAGTGTTCCAATTACTATATTTTACAGTGTCTCTCTGTGTCACACTGTGTAACATCAGGCTCTTCTTGTTGGAAAGCACCCGTAATTACGCAGCGGCATCGAGACCGATCGTCGAGGAATGCGTGCCAATCGATCCAGGGAAGCAGCATGACGCGATCTCTTCGACGGTTCTGATAGGGTCGAGCGTCGACTGCGATCGACCGCTGCCATCTTACCAACAGCTCCACGGCGAACTGTTCACTAGATTCGATATCCCGTCCTTCCCTTCATACGAATTCATACACCTCTTTCAACAGTGATAACATTAATACAAACAATGAGTTTTCTGCAAACATTTGTCCCAGTACAAATCATTACGTCATATCCGATTGGCAACAACACTGAAATAATTCGAGAGAACGACGAGTCGCCATCGTCATTTTTTGCAATAAAAAGGATACGAATTATATGTCTGTGACGATGGTGTGGCACGTACGTTAACTCGCTTTGTAATATTGTAGGTTATTTTATTAAGAATTAAATTTATTTAATTAGTTTGGGAATGTTTAAATATTTAACTTGAAAATCAAATTTTTAAGAAATAAAAGTTTAAGTAAATCAGTGAAGGATTAGAAATAAAATGTTTAAAATAATTAATTTAATTTCGGAAAATAAGGAAGGGATGGTTAAATTAAAATTAAAATGTGACGGTACGCTTTTCTTGCGCTCGAATATGCTCGTCGGGCCAGGTGTGCAAGAAAGCGCGAGACTACCAATGCGTGTCAGCTAGATTTTTACCGAGGCTTAAAGAGACGGTAGGTCAGTCAGCGGCAGCGATCCGGAAGTGACGGACGGCAAGGCCGGTTCGGTCAGTAACGCGCGGAGCAGGTGAGGGGGGTCCCCGAAGGGCGGATGTAATACGGCAGCGTGGCATCTAGGCGCAGCGAGATCGAGAACTGGCCTATGTCAGCCGGGCGCCCCGGCCCGACAGTGATGGAGAAGCCAGGCGCCCCGACCTTCTCCGTGTGCGCGGTATCGGTGCCAGCAAGGTGCTCCGGGAAGCGGAAAAGCCGGGCGCTCCGGCTCTCTTCGCTGGATGTAGGAGGCGGGAAGAAGTCAGGCGCCCTGATTCTCTTCTCGAGAGGTAGTGAAGAAGTCAGGCGCCCTGACTCTCTTCGCTGGATACAAGGAACGTGAAGAAGTCAGGCGCCCTGACTCTCTTTTTAGGAGACAGTGAAGAAGTCAGGCGCCCTGACTCTCTTCTCAGGAGGAACGGTCCCGACAGGAGTAGGTTCGGGACCGGACTGGTAGCCGTTGCTCCGCGGCGGCGGCTTATATACTCCCGCCGATGGGCTTTGGCGGGGGCTGCGGAGAGGGGGTTGCCCTCACGTAATACGCTCGGCGCGCGTGTTTAGTCGGAGTTGTGGCGCTGAGCGCCAGGGGCGGCTGGTTGGCCCTACGTAGTGACGAGGCGGGGGGAGGGAGGGCGTATCGTCACAAACAATATTGAGTTGAAACCTGATCCTTAAAAATCAAGACATATTAAATTCATTTACTCAAGAAAGAATTATATAGAATTAATAAAGAATTATAAGAATTAATAAGATCAGGATTCAAAGTTCAAAGAAAATGAATGTTTAAAATAAAAATCATCTTTAATTAACAGTTGTTCCGAATAAAACAGAGTAAAAAATTTACTGATATAACCAGAGCCAGTTATCAAATTCTGGTGGTTTTCTGAATTTGCCAGTAAAGTAGATTTGTAGAAGATGTGATGTTGTGTTATTTAGAGGTTGAAATTGTGAGCGCTGACTTGATTTAAGATTCTATTATACTGAGATAGTTTGGATTGAATTGGTCCAAGTCTAGACTGAGACTGACCTTTTCAGGTGACAAGAACCCCC